GAAATGAACTGAATACCATACTTTCCAGATGGGCTGGAACAGACTGAAAAGCTACTTAGTGGTGATGACAGTTTGGGAATTTAGTGTAAGGAGCTGGAGAACGAACTGTCGGCTGTGCAGCGAGTGGGCGGAGCTCGTTACTCTGACGTAGCAACAAGCTGCTTGTTAAGGAACTATAATTTGGCGGAAGGAACTGCGAACATTAAAACATATTAAACGCCGCGTTCATGACCCAGTTTATTAATTTGTTACTTTATTCGTTTAACTATTGCATAAAAGCAATAGAACACTAGAGGTTGTGTGTTATCGCGAATAAATGATGTTTCTTTGTGTAGGATAGTGTTTCGTTATATCTGGAGCGATTTCTTTCAAACATCTTTGAGGTTTGTTCTTCATAAGGATCAGTTTTATTTAAAAATGCTGTATGTCTGGGTGAACTGCAGTGTGGAAATCAGTTTCCTCAGACAGAGAATATGTGCCAATATTTGTGAATACTTCAACTGACAAGCTGAAAGCAGGCGTTCAGTTTTTCCCAAACATGAGATTTTGCAAACTGCATCTATACGGGCTTACTGGGGCATTTAATAGCAGATATACTGTTCCAGAAAACTTGGAGAAATGACAAAAAAAAAAACTTATAGAAAACGCTACTATATTTTTTCTTCGCACAAAGTTCAGTTTAAACTCTTAAGGTCAGAGTGCTTTGTTCGTCATATCCATTGTGTTGATGTGTAAAATAGAAATGCAGTTTTTCCAAGTTAAGATGTCACATAAAAGACAAATTATACACTAACACACAATACAGAGGGTGAGAAGCAATAGACAGATGATCCTGAGGGTAATACTGCGGCAAACACTGCACAGTGTAAACAGTGGAGGATCTTATCTTTTCCTCACCCTCCTGTAGCAAATATGCCTTTTCTTAAGTTTTGTTTAATTATTTCTCTTTGAAACAAGCAGAGAAAGTCAATCCATCACACATTTGTGTTTGTAGGTAGAAAAGGAGATATCGTGATATGAATTTGAGTTAATACTGGGCATACAGTCTAGTTTTGCATGAAAGAAAAACATCCATTTTGTCCTGTTTTTGGAATAAATAGAAAAGACTTTAACCTGTTGATACGGAATGCAAATCCACTTATATACCTAGCTGTGCAACCAATTATGTAAATACATTTACATTTAAATAAATATGTAATGTAAACTGAATCTGTAGTAAAAACAGCAATTTTGAAACATATAGTTCCAGTTCTGAAATCTGATTGGTTGAGCCATGTTGAAAGCCATTGTAAAATATTACTTATAAAACGAATCATTCTGGTATTAAAATCTGATTGGCCGCATTCAAAACCGTTGTAAAATCCATTTCTATGACCGCCTCACAAAAACTGAATTGTGTATAACTGCACCACGGCATGAAAAAAAAGTCCTTGTGCTGTTAATAGAATAATCTTTGACTCTCATGCTGCTCACATGGACCACCGAGTGTATTGATGAAGTAAGAACCCATTTTTTGTCTAAACTGAGTAGCTGACAACTTATGTTCTTAACTAGAACTAGGCTAGTCAGCTAGCTAACAGGCTAAAAGAGCCAACAGACTAAACAACTCCATCATTAACATCATAGGCTTGAATTAAAGTACTTACGGTATGATTGACTGTAAACTGTAAATGCACTTCAGTTGTTCGTGCTTCAGTCAGAAGTCACGTCAAACCCAGGCTGAATCCCAAACAGCTCTGTACTCCCTAAATAGCATTCTAGCTATGAAAGTTTAGAAATTCTAGCCTCTACAGCCAAACAGTGCATCATTTATCGAGTGTGGATGTGTCTGAGTCCTAAATGACTGTTTCTTAGCTGTATTTCGCTCTGTTGGGCTGCAGGATCCAGTATTTAAATTCCTACATTGTCCACTATGTAGGGAGCAAGGAGCCATTTGAGCACGAGCAGAGAGGCGCTGCCGGATTGGTGCTAAAAAAGACACGTGGTGGTAATTTGGTGGCCAGAAAGTGTTTGTAAAGCAAATGTATTTACATTAAACAGTGCTGTGTTGTCATATGTTCATTGTTATACACCAGAAGTTAAAAAAATGTATAAAATGACCGCACATCCAACCAAACGTTCTCCTCATTCAGCGGTCCATGCTTGCTTGGCAACGACACCATACTCTAAAAGAACTACATTTCTTGGCAGAATAATTGTTTATGTCAATTATTATTAATAATAACTAATTATTTTCTGAAAAAATGTGTATTTTATCATATTTCATGTTGGCCACCGTTTTATAAAAGCATTGTGCGTTGCAGTGATTTTATCACAGGAAAGGTGTTCCTAGGCACGATGTGCAGCCTTCCCTGTGATAAAATCACAGTAACGCACAGCCTCAAGTGGCTTATTGCTTTAATATACTCCTACATACTAGTCATGTGCACAGGGTTGAACGCCTTTGGTCAAGTTACAGGTTTTGTTGATTTTCTAAGTGAAAATAAACACCTCTACAGAGAACACACTTAAACATGACATGTTCTGCACATTTTAATGCACAATTTCTGTTTACTTCCTTTAAGTGTTTAACATGTTGGGAAAAACAAAAACAAACAAACAAAAAAATACACACAGGCAATGTTTTAGATTTTTCCCCCAATATGTTAAATTCAGCAAATAAGCAGTAACTGTGCATTAAAACATGCAGTAGTGTGTTCTCTGTAGAGGATGTGTTCACCTACTTTCACTTAGAAAATGAGTAAAGCATGTCATTATATGACTGTAGCTATGACTGCATACCTCATTTGAATATGTATAAAGTCATTTTTGTGTAGCTTGGCAGCCATAGCCTATTATAACCACACTACCTGACAGAAGAATTGTTTCTAGTAGTTAATACTGATAAGTGAAATGATCTCTCCTGTTAACTCCAGCAGCAACAAGTGACAGAACGCTCTCAAACATTTCAGCACTCGTTCACACTTTGAGACGAGAGGCCATAATGATGACTTACATGAGCAACAAGTCTTGATGTCTCATCTCACTGTCAGCAGCTTTGTTGTCATTTTTCAGCCACAGACGGATAAATTCAGCTTCAGTGCCATCCCGTCACATCTGCCGCAGCTACTATGTCTGTATGGATGGCAGATAAATAACAGCTCATCGCTGTATAGTAGCTCATTGCTGTTACACATGCCCAGATGTCAACATTACAAACTGTTCAGGCCTGGTACCCTGCACTCTTTAGCTATGTACAGGTGGCTTATCTAATAAGCAACTATAGAAAATGTGATATTATATTTTGTACATATAATTAAATATATATTTGTTAGGTGTACGCCTAGGCGGCACGGTGGCGCAGTGGGTAGCGCTGTCGCCTCACAGCAAGAATGGCCTGGGTTCGATTCCCGGCCGGGTGACCAGGGTCATTTCTGTGTGGAGTTTGCATCTTCTCCCTGTGTCTGCGTGGGTTTCCTCCCACGGTCCAAAAACATGCAGTCATGCTGAATTGCCCCTAGGTGTGAATGTATATGTATGTCCGTCTGTCTGCCCTGTGATTGACTGGCGACCTGTCCAGGGTGTATCCTGCCTTACGCCCAATGACAGCTGGGATAGGCTCCAGCACCCCACCGCGAAACAGAAGGATAAGCAGTTTAGATGATGGATGGATAGGTAACCGATGGCTGCCGCTTTACATCGGTTATTCATTTGTTTTGTTTTGTTTTATATTGTTTGTGTGTATGTTTTGATGTTTTCCTGCTGGCTGAAGAGTTTGCCATCATTCCACCGAGATAGCAGCCGAGAGTGACTTTCCAACCGAGGCTAAGGCTTCTTGGTCTGGCTGTTTGGGTAGCGCTGCATCACAGCTGTGTTGCGGCCTGGACGCTGTATTGCAGCTACGAGGCTGCCTGGACCGTGGACATGATCGACGCTACATCGCAGCTATGTGGCTGCTTGGGCCGACTGCTTGGATGGCACTGAACTGCAGCTGTGTGGCTGCCTGGACCAGTAGTGTTTGGCTGCATGAGTAGTGCTATGCTGCGGCTAGGAGGCCTCTTGGGCTGGCTAAGCAATGCTACATCGCAGCTACGTGGCTGCCTGGACTGGTGTTGTTTGGCTGCAGGAAAATGCTCCCCCTTTGTGGCTAAGGACATTTTCAGCCTTCAAGCCTTCCTAGGCTGGCTGCCTGTGTGACCAACTGTAGTTGTGGAGTGAGACTTTTCCTCTAAGGACTCTTTTCAGGCTAGCAAAGTGACTGTAGTGGTCATTGTAATCCCCCTTCGCTAGGTGTTGGAACTGTGGAGTTGTGTGTGTATGTGAGTGTGTGTGTGTGTTTCTGTGTTGTTTTATTTGTTGTTGTTTATGTATTTTGTTGTTTTCTGATCTCTTTGTAAAGCATCATTAGGATTTGAGATACATTTAACTTCCCAGTGCTAAAGAAAAGAGATCAAACTCAGCTAAACAGGCCATGTTTTGGTTCAGAAACAGAGCCATAAGCTTTACATTTTGCTCATAAATATTTATAAGGCAGCTGTTTTTGAACTGTTTCTACTGACTAGTTTCTAGGTTTACAAATGGCATCAGCTGTTTATGAATTTCATCAACATTACTGGCTGTGTCTTAGGGATACTGACAGCATTTTGAATGATGTCTGTTGTGATTGGTTATATATATATATATATATATATATATATATATATATATATATATATGAAGTAAAGCACTACAAAGGTTTCTCTTGTACTTCCCAGTTGGTACAGATTTGATGCATTTTAGAGGGTAACTTAGACATAAAGTAATGAGTAGTGTGACTACTTTACCCATGAGGTAATGAGAAAAGTAATCCTATTACAGTTTGAGCGAATGAAATAGAAATTTGTAATAGATTATTCTTTTTTAGTAATTACCTCAACACTGTGGTGACACACAGCCACCCTGGCTTATTGCTTTATAATAATTCCAGCCTTCTGAAGGTTCATTATCCCTCTCTGAAGTCTTACTCTGCATGTTTGTTTCAGACGGGCGCTCCCTGCTCCTCTCGCCGTGCGTGGTGGAGTCCACTGAGGCTCGTCTGCTGGAGCGGGACGTCCTGGAGTCGCGGGTCCGAGAGGTGGAGGAGGAGAACCGGCAGATTCGCCTCCAACTCAGCCAATCACAGAACCTAGCGGCTCAGCCTGCCGAGGGTAACTATGGCAACCAGCAGTGGGTGGCGTCGGCAGACACGGGTCCGGAGGATGTGGAGAATACTGCAGAGGAGCGAGCCAATCACAGCGAGTGTGCACGGTCACCCACTGCGGAAAAGTGTGAGGTACGATGATCAGCTCTAAACCTAGACATAGGCCTAATTAATTACATAGAGAGGCATAAAGAGAGATACTTATGATCAATGAAGCACTGAGGCATCATGGGAAAGGTAGGCTTCAGAGTAAAAGAGAGGCATAAAGGGAAATGTCAGCCTTTTCAGTGATGTGAAGAGGCCAGAGAATGTGTAGTGAGAAGAACTGCCACTCAATAATGTCTTCTGGGCTTTTCAGACACTAGAGGGAGCTCCTGAGCGAGTCTAAAATGAATGGGCTCCTATGGAGCAAAATTGCATTGTGTACATGCTTGATTTTTTATATAGAAAAAACACTTTTCTGAACACAGGACAGCCTAAAATACTTCAACACTGCTGTTATATTGTGAGTTATTGAACTTGAGTTATAGGATTTTCTAACAGCGTCTCACAAACAGCTTCACTCATCCAATGAGTTGCTCAGCTCGCAAACCAGTCAGCACTCAGTAGCACTAACGCTAAGCAATCAGTGCTCAGTAGCACTAATGCCAACCAATAAGCACTTAGTAGCAGTAATGCCAACCAATCAGCACTCAGTAGCACTAATGCTAACCAATCAGCACTCAGTAGCAGTAAGGCCAACCTATCAGCACTCAATAGCAGTAATGCTGACGAATCAGCGCTCAATAGCACTAATGCTGACCAGTCAGCACTCAGTAGCAGTAATGCCAACCAATCAGCACTCAGTAAAAGTAATTCCAACCAGTCAGCACCCAGTAGCAGTAATGTTAACCAATCAGCGCTCAATAGCACTAATGCCAACCAATCAGCAGTCAGTAGCAGTAATGAATACATCCTGCTGCCTAAAACCTGTTTTCTGTAGGAAAACGGTGATGTACTGATAGGTTTTCTAAGATTTTTTAAAATGGAATACATCCTTCTACTTTACAAAATTTAAAAGTTAGTCATGAACAAATGGTTAAAAACATATCGTTTTTAGCTATCTAGCTCCATTTAGCAACATTCATTGGGAACTTGCTTAAATATGAAGTATGATTTTAAATATTTCATCATGGAAGAAACTCATGGAAGAATTTACATCACAAGGAAGTTGCACTCTAAAATGTTGAGAAAGCTGTGAATGCAAATGGTAAACCTGGGCAGGTTCCCTGTTTCCTGATATCACATGAACACAGCTACCCTAGCTGGCATTGCTCTGGGGGCAGTCGTGGGCTGGAGGTTAGGAAATCAGCCTTGCGACCAGAAGGTCGCCGGCTCAATCCCCTGAGCCAACAGTATGTGACTGAAGTGCCCTTGAGCAAGGCACCTAACCCCCAACTGAGTACCGTGGATAGGGCTGCCCACCGCTCCAGGCAAGTGTGCTCACTGCCCCCTAGTGTATGTTCATTCACCACACTGTTTTATATATATATATATATATATATATATATATATATATATAAAGGTACTGTACAGCTACATTTTTTGTTCATCAAGGTACAAACAATGTAAATGTTCCCTCAGAGGAACAACAGTGGTTTTAAGGTCTGATTGGAGACGAGACGGGGTGTGTGGAGTCAGTACAACTTAAAAATATAATTTCAGCTTCATTATGGTTCATTTATGTTCCCTGACTAAAGGTACTGAGAAGTACCCTTGAGGGTGCCACCCCAGTGACAAGAAGGGCTCTGCCCCAGTGACGGTTTAGTACCTTTATTTCTGAGAGTGTAGTGTGTATGTGGTGTTTCACTGCACGGATGGGTTAAAATGTGGAGGTGAAACGTCCCCGTTGTGGGACTAATAAGGGAACTTAACCCCTTAACCCCTATTCCAGTGTATGTAGGTAAGTTTGATGTGATATTGGGCAGTTAGATTTCTCAACATGACAATTTTCTGATTTCACAGGTTTACAAAAATTGTCCAAATTCACTATAAAGCAGTGGGAGAGGTATCATGGAAGTATAGGCCTCAACAGTTAAGTAGCATGGCTTAATAGGCCATTACCTATGGAACACTGAGGCATCATGGGAGATGTAGGACGTAATATAGAGAGATAAAAAAGGCAGATAGCCATTACCAGTGGAATGCTGAGGTATCATGGGAGACGTGGTCCCCAAGAGTCACATAAAATGGCATCAAGGGAGATTATCAGTGGAATGCTGAGGCATTATGGGAGAAGGAAGCGTCAGTATTTATACAGAAAGGTACTGTGGGGGATTAAGAGATTCATAATGGGATATCAGGGATACCAGGAAAATCTAAGAAGCTTATGTTTTTCAAATTTTCATGATTTTAGTCAGTTATGCAGTAGATAGAAAGCTAAAATAAGCCAGAAATGAAATACATACAGAAAATACATAAACACAGAGCCCACATAAAATCATGCATGACTGCAAAATTAATTAGATGTATATATTTTATGCAAATGTTAAGTGCTCTCTCTTTCTTTGTGCACACAGCTGATTCATGTTGCATGTGTGTGTGCGGGTCACAACGCCAGCCGAGACGTGGTCACCCTGGTCAAATCCATCCTGTTTCACAGGTGAGGATGTGGTAGGAGAAATAGGGGCGAAATGCCCCCCTTGAAGAACACACTGCAAAAATGACATCTAAGCAAGTTAAAACATCTTAAATCTGGCCAATATATCTAATATTTCTCACTATGAAAATGTTGTAAGAATATTATGAAATTATTTAAGCTACTTCTTTATTTTCACATGTTTTAAGTCATTTTATCTAGTGAAAGTGTCTTAATCGATTGGCAGATCATTGAACTTACTTCAAAAAAAGAATGCAGATAATTTTATTTATTTCAAGATTTAATATTTGAAACAAGTAAAATTCTGTTCCAATGGAAAAAGACACTTTTATTAGATAGAGACATGACTTACCCCACTGTTGGGGCAAGAAGGCCCCTAACTGAGGAAAGAAGCTTCTTTCCCCCCAAGCTGCCTTACCATGTTAAACTCAATGAGAAACATTCTGCAGTCAAGCTCATTCTGACATCACAGCCTAATGCCCAGATATTTGTACACAGATGTGCACAGTATTTAATATTCCTTGCATGTTAGGCTGGATTTATTGTCTAACAGCCATTCTTTCATCACTGATCCTCTGCTCATCTTTCTGATTCCAGGAGAAACCCACTGCATTTTCACTTCATCACCGACACGGTGGCCAATCAGATCCTCAGCACTTTGTTCCAGTCGTGGATGGTGCCCTCGGTGCAGGTCAGCTTTTACGACGCTGACGAACTGAAGGTAAAACATACGCGCCTCCTCTGCCAAAGCATAGAGCTCCACAGTTATTAGCTCTCTGTTGTTTTGCTATGTTTTTGAAATGTAGTTATATAATTGATAATTCATTTTTACCTGATCATTTTCTAACCTCTCTTTATCTCTTAGAATTAAACAGACTGTTTTTGTCACTGCATCTTCAATACTGATTTATGTAAATGAGCTCTGTTCTGCTTACATGATCTCTGTTCTGGGAGTTTGCATGTTCTCCCCGTGTCTGCGTGGGTTTCCTCCGGGTACTCCGGTTTCCTCCCACAGTCCAAAGCCATGCAGTCAGGCTGATTGGACATGCTAAATTGCCCCTAGGTGTGAATGTGTTTGTCTGTATGTCTGCCCTGCGATGGACTGGCGACCTGTCCAGGGTGTATCCTGCCTTCTGCCCAATGACAGCTGGGATAGGCTCCAGCACCCCACCGCGACCCAGAAGGATAAGCGGTTTAGATGATGGATGGATGGATCTCTGTTCTGGTTGACTATGCTGGATTGTTCTTCGTTAAGAAAGCAGTCCGGACTGAAACACTCCTTATAACTTCTGTGTGAATGGGCGGGGCTAAATAATATCACAAATAATATCTGGTTAGTGGTGGTCCTCTGGTCCCTTTCCACTGATGGATGGGGTGGGGGGGGGTGTTGATAAACCTCTATGGTAGGTGTTTTTGATAAAATGGTCAGTGAGTCAGTGAGTGTAGGTACAGGGTAGAAGGAGGGGGGTGGCGCCTCCAAGAGGCCCGGATGTTATTTTAAACGTAAATCTGAAAATGTTAATTAATAGAAAAACTGAATGCTTTCTAGAAATTGAATTTCAGATGTTTAATTGTACATCAATACCTGTAAAATTCAGGTTCAGATTTTATATTGCTCTCTTAAAATTTCAGTTTAGAGTTCAAATTCAGATCGTATGATAAATTCAAAATAATAGCGTTCAAGTTCAGATTTTTGCATCTAAATTCAAATTTCTAATGGCATCGACTTGTTTGTGCAACCCGAGTTAAGACCTGGATGCGGTTTGAGAGACGTTTTGGGGATGTATTTATGGAAACAGTTTGGGTGACTATTGACTTCCAGTGGTTGTAGCACCGTTAGCCTAGCAGCTCCAGTTCTAAACCAAAGAAGCAAACAGTTGACAACAGTTATATCTTGGCTGACTGACCACATTTAGGGTAAAAAGAAATTGTGATAATCGTTTTTCTGTGATAACAGCTTTCCAAACCTACACTCTTAAAAAAGATGGTTCTTCAAGGGGTCTTTAGTAAAGAAAATGGTTCTATAAAGAACCATAAACACTGAAAGAACCATTTGCATGATTTAAAGATTTCTTCAGATTGATGGAGAATGTGCTGTAGATGGTTCTATGTAGAACCTTTTTGAAAAGGGTTTTGCTTTTGTTACAATTTTGACATTGTAAGAATAGAAGAACCCTTTTGGGTCCTTCATAGAACCCTTTTCAAAAAGGTTCTATATAGGGCCATCTACAGCACATTCTCCTGATACAAAGAACACTTTAATCAAAGAATCATTTAATCATGCAAAGGATTCTTTGAGAGTTCATGGTTTCATATAGAACCACTTTCTTTACTAAAGAACCCTTACAGAACCATTTTGTAGTATGTTATTACATTAAGTCTAAATACAGGCTGTGTAAAAAGAACTTATTTAACGTTTTTTTCATTTTGTTGTAACTAGAGCTGGGCGATATGGCCAAAAATGTTATCACGATAAACAAAATTCATATTGTTCGATATCGATACATACCGCGATAAATGTCTTAAGGATAAAAGTTTGAAGGCCGGTTTTTGCTCCTGGTTGATTAATTGCTGTTTTAAACTATCCTTTATGGTCGGAACACGACAAACACTCACCAAACAGTGGAACATTTCACAGATCTGTCATGGGAGAGTGGGAGAAAGTGTCTGGTGAGCTGAGAAAGTGGAAGAGCACGGCCACAGTTTTTGTAATGGTCATAATTTCATAATAGTCACAAAGAAAGAAAACAGATTTTTTATTATTTTTAGCTGGTGACGAGTGCTAGACTATCTGGTTACAAATGACATCACAGTATTCAGACACCAGCTAGCGATGACTAGATTTCTCTATACTATCGTAGTAGTTTAAGTGGTGAACCGCAAAATATCAACACCAGACAAACTGAGTCCTCTTTTTAGGTACGTTTAAACTGAAAGCGGTGCTTTTGTGTCGTGTTTGATCCACAGTATCATCAATTCTCCGTGCTATGTGAGTGACAGAGCTGCTTCAAGTTACCCAGCTGCTAAAAACAGCTAGCCTGGAAAGCTAACCTAGCGCTCTCCCGCTCTCCAATGCCTCACAGCTTCCTCAGTTTACTTTCGTTTAAATCAGGGCTGTAATTTACATGAACCCACTTCATTCTTTCACTTTCGTTGCTTGGGAATGCACTAATACTAAAATATGACTGAGTGCTGTAACAGCGCTGTAGTTGTGAGGATTGTGATTTAACGCTGCTAAAGCTGGTTAGGATGTTAGTAAAGAGGTGAGCTCGCTGTAGGACAGTATAGTTACACCACTGACCTCAGTCACAGGAGAACAGATCGCCGGTCGCTCCACTCAAACAGGGAATGTAACTATAACTCAGTTTCAGCCGTTGCTAAAGACTCATCTTACTCGTGGCCCCCTCCCTCTCTAATCATGTTGAAAAACTCGGAAGTGCGCCCTCTCCTGGTGACAGCGGAGTAGTGTCACTTTCCTTGCAGTAGAAAACGCCACCAAGGCTTTCGCTGAACGTGGAAGTGTGAGAATGGTCTATTATATCGAACATTTATCGAACATGTCGTATCGCTCTATCAAGAAAAAGTTATATCGCGATAATTATCGTTATCGTTTTATCGCCCAGCGCTAGTTGTAACCAGTCTGGGAACATTATCTTGAGGCTGGAACACAAGACTAGAACCTCAGAAACACTGGTTCTTCTCAGAGCTAACCAGCTCACTTTTTATTCTGTTTAAAAACACCAGCACTCGACCCTGAGCCAAGCACAATGCACTACAACAGAGACCCTTAAAGAGGGGTCACGACCTGCTTTTGCCAGGAAAAGGCTACAGGTTGCTCTACCAGCCCTTTAAACCAGGAGAGTAAATACAATAAATGTGTCTGAGAGAAGACGCCCTCTTTACAGAGGAGTCACGTGGTGCTCATAGATTCTGATGGAGCTGTACAGCTGCTGAGAGACGCTGCCGCTATAGGTGAAGGCAGCGTCTGTTCCAGCATCCTAAAGAGACCTTTTCTCACAGGGGAACAGTGGGAAGCCTCGTTACACAGAGCAGAAAACAGAATTATTCATTTTTTTCATACATTTAAAGTGACGGTGCGGCTCTTTGTTCTTTTCTCTAAGATTTGACATGTGAGTTCTACTGCAGTGCTATTCAGTTATTCAGCACGCGTTTGTGTGGTATGAGCATGGCTCATTTATGTATGTATGTATGTATGTATGTTCATGGTAGCACCTCTGTGGTGACATTCAAATCTTATATTGTTATATATACATAAATGTGCTCATACAAAATGGGTCGTTCTACAGAAACGTCCACTTGTTTGTCTATCCATAGGAGTCACTGGTGTCACTTGCCGTCATTGGTGTTACACATTAGAAAGGTAACACCAGAGACATTTTTAATGCATTTTAAGCATTTTACAAAATGGCTGCTACAGAGCATCAAACCACGTTGTCAATCATGAAATATCCTCTAAAATATGTCATTTAATTCATTTGTGTCCATCCAGTTTCTATAGATTGACTCAAATACATACAAATCAAATACAACGTTCTCTCTGTATGAATATTAATTGCTCTCTGTGTTTCTCACTCTCTTTATTTCTCTCTCTCTCTTGCACTCTCACTCTTTTGAGTCTTTCACTGTCTTTCTTTTTTGTACCTCTCTCACTCAGTCACACTTTATTGCTCTCACCCACTCTCTCTTTCTCTCTCTTTCACAGTCTGTTTTCACTCTATAGGTCATTTATACTCTTATACTCTAAATATGTATGTAGAGAGATTAAAGACATACATGCATGCACAGTATTGTTTTTGTGATGTCATGGAAACCAGTGCATTTACATATATCTGCTTATTCAGCCTTCTGCAGTTTAGCCCTGCTCATGCACACCGACGTTATAAGGAGTGTTTCAGCCTGGACTGCTTTTTGAATGAGACTCAACACAGGGCAGCCAATCAGAACTGAGCTCATTTACTTACAACCTTATGCAAACCCCTGCTTAAATTACATGTTTTGTTGATTTTCTAAGTGAAAATAAGTTCATCCTCTACAGAGAATTACACATTTAAATATGGCATTTTCGTATAAATTCTAGGGCACAGTTTGTATTTATTTTCTGATTTTAACATATTGGGAGAAAAAAAATAATAAAACATGTGCTGTAACATTTGCATGGGGCACATTTTATGTTTTATTTTTTTCCAGTATGTTAAATTCAGCAAATAAACTGTAGTTGTGTATTAAAATGTGCAGAAGTGTGTTCTCTGTAGAGGATGTGTTCACCTATTTTTACTTAAAATATAAAAAAAACAGACCAGAGGCGCTCAAACTTTTGCATACGACTGGCTGTATGTCAGACTTGAAGAAAAAACAAAACAGAAACAACAAACAAAAACAAAAACAGCCTATTTAATTCTAAGGGATAAGGAGAAATGAGTAAAAATGAGTTATTTGTTTTGGGTGCATTAAAATTGCGGCTCAAACGAGTCCTATGGTGTGAGATAGTCAATGATGTAACTGACCAAGTGATTCAGGCAACAGCTAGCAGAGAGAAAAAGCAAAGTGCTGTGCATACACAACGATGGAGCAGCTGTTTGTGGAACACTGGCAACCATACAAACGCCTTTATAACTTGTGTTTTTGTGTAGTAACCAGAAGTTTTTTGTCATGTATTGCCATATAAGTTCATTGTGTTAGGAAACATGTCAAACTAAGTGGTATTTATTTTAAAATTTCCTTTTGGTGAAGCATTCTTTGAAAAAGTGGCTGATGTGTTGTAGATTGTCATCGTTTGAACCAGGGAGTCACTACCCAATATATAGGGGTCTTGCCATGCCCTGCTATAATTGAGGGGGGTAAGGGCAGTATGTGAGCTACACAGTTTCACTACTGTATTCACTACACACACTACATTTCCCAAAATGCCCCAGCACCTGTTGTGAATCAGCTGTGTCCACAATGTGTCCACTCACTGTCCACTCTACTAGACACTCCTACCTTGTTGGTCCACCTTGTAGATGTAAAGTCAGAGACGATAGCTCATCTGCTGCTGCACAGTTTGTGTCGGTCATCCTATACATCTTCATCTATGGTCACAGGACGCTGCCCACAGGACGCTGTTGGCTGGATGTTTTTGGTTGGTGGACTATTCTCAGTCCAGCAGTGACACTGAGGTGTTTAAAACCTCCAGCAGCACTGCTGTGTCTGATCCACTCGTACCAGCACAACACACACTAACACGCCACCACCACGTCAGTGTTACTGCAGTGCTGAGAATGATTCACCACCCAAATATTACCTACACTGTGGTGGTCCATGGGGGTCCTGACCACTGAAGAACAGGGTAAAAGGGGGCTAACAAAGTATGCAGAGAAACAGATGGACTACAGTCTGTAACTGTAGAACTACAAAGTGCACCTATATAGTAAGTGGAGCTGATAAAATGGACAAAGAGTGGAGATACATGGAGTTGGGCTTAATGAAGTGGCTTGTCAGTGTATTATTACTGCAACTACCTTTGGTTTCTATTCTAAATATGTTTTGAGTCAACAGGTTCTCAATTCTTTTGTCAGTACATGGCAATGTGTGAAAATTTCTGTTCATGACTGGATGTACAATACAGCTCTCTCTCTCTCTCTCTCTCTCTCTCCTCATTCAGTCGGAGGTGTCATGGATACCCAATAAACACTATTCAGGAATTTATGGCCTGATGAAGCTCACCCTGACCAAAGCTCTGCCCTCTGACCTCTCCAAGGTCATTGTGTTAGATACAGACATTACCTTCGCCACCGACATCGCAGAGCTGTGGGCCATCTTCAAGAAGTTCACAGGTAATTACCCTGATGGCCGTTCTTTTCTTCTGAACCCAAAGTGTCGTTCAGAGGAAACGGATGAACAGTGTTGTGTTTATTCCAGAGAAACAGGTGATTGGGCTGGTGGAGAACCAGAGCGACTGGTACCTGGGAAATCTCTGGAAGAACCACAAACCCTGGCCTGCTCTGGGACGCGGCTTCAACACAGGTAAGAGCAAGAAAATGTGTGGAAGTTTAACCATACCTACCAAACCCAATATATCCACATCAGCGGTGACACGTTTAGTGTCCAGTCAACCTAATTAAATTAAAAACTGATTCAAATTTACGTTGGTCAGTCAAAGGGACGAGCATGTGGAATTGGAGCACGTGCTACTGTGTTTCCTATCACTGTATAAAAGAGGCTGCATGCTGCCTTTAATGCTGGATGCCGTGTGGTAGTTTCTGAGTGAGCATGCACAGTATTGATTAATTTCATAAGGATAACAAAGTAAAAAAAGAAAATCCTCAGATTTTCAGCTTTGTTAGATTGTTTTTTATGAGTTGAAATATTAATATTAATATTAAAATGCAGCAGCAGCTTCAAGAAATCATGTTAGTAGTGGTGAATAGTAGATTACACAGCACAAACCTCTTTATAAGAAATATATTGTTGCTGTCTAAAAAAATTCTCCATTTTTGTGGATTTTTATTTTTCTACATCTTTTGAACCTGCCAGCTGTTCTTTACATTGTGTGATGAATGGACTTTAACTAACATTAAAACACAAGAACGTTTTGCCCTCTCCTGTTAAATTACTCTTTATATACATATTTGTCTGTGGATAGTGACAATATATTCATTCAGTTGTACCCAAACTTGTGACCGTTACTGTAAGGATATGGCCTGTGTTGAGCCTGTATGAAGTTCCTTTGTGGGCTGTAGGGGTGATCCTGCTGTATCTGGAGAGGCTGCGCAGGATCGGCTGGGAGCAGATGTGGAGGCTGACGGCTGAGAGGGAGCTAATGAGCATGCTCTCCACCTCCCTCGCTGACCAGGTCAGTGAGCCATTACCCAGCTGTTACCAGCATCAACATCATTAACTTCATTTACATGCACACAATAGCCTGACTATGCTTAGATAACCTAAAACTGGACCGAACCAAGATGTTTATAAGAGCTGTATAAAAGACTAATCCATTTACAGTTCCATTCACATGCGCGATTGCATATTAAAACCTATTTCAAATAGTCTGGCCAATAATAGCCTGGACCACATTTCAGTCAAGCTTAGACTCAGTCAGGGGTCGGCAACCTAAATGTTATAAAGAGCCATTTTGTCCTTTTAACAAAAATCAAACCACCTTGGGAGCCACAACATTTTATGTCCATTTTATTGAAGTAACGTTTTACCATGTTGCCTGTAAATATGTCTCAGTATGTACTAATGTCCTAGTATAGGCTAAAAATATAATGTAAACCAAAACGCAGACTTACTTTGCTCTGCTTTAAGCTTTAGCTCAGCTATAGCCACTTTTCTCACATCTCCAGCAGGAAACTTTTCCTCAAAAGTGGAATAGTTTCTTGTAAAATGTCTCTTAATGTTCGACTTTTTATGAGGCTGAAGTCGCTTCTCATTCACCAGCTTCTTGTTCAAATTTTCCCATTCCACCTTAAATGGTGCCTGATGCACCAGAATGGAACTGCTGCACCGTTTAAGGTGGAATGACAAAATTTGAATGAGAAGCTGACTTCATCTTCTCGACTTTTTAATAGTTTCTCGTTGCAGATTAAACGTATCAGGAAAGCAGCCATAGTGCTTATAAACACAAATAAGTCCATTTGTCTCCAAATTATCGATGTTCATCTTAAATCTTTCTCTTTGCCTTCTCGTTAGCTACTAGCTAGGCGAGATTTTTGTCTGTGTTGCTATGGTGACCAGCAGTCTGCGCTCCAACCTTCAGGGTTAAAGGGTGAATTAGCAGTTCTACATTAACTCCAGAGTTTAAGACCATTTACTGTTAAACTGTGTTGAACGATCAGCAGAGCTTTATTTTACTGTGAAGGAGGATTATTTTATTATTACCTACAAATCTAATTCTGCTGTGGAGCCACAACAGAGCAGTAAAAGAGCCACATCTTGCTGACCCCTGGACTAAGACCATGACGCTTTCAACCAAGCTGTTTCCATGATCATAGCTTTGTTAGACTACCAGAGTTAATCAGACTAAAATACAGCCGTTAGTGTGCACGTAAATTGAGTTAATGTGACCTTTGAGTTAAATGTTCCTGAAACACTAGTGTTGAAAGTCTTACACAGTACTGTCTGAAAGTCCAAGACCACCGTTCACTTATTTAATTTCCAGTCAAAATGGCCATTAAGTATTAAGTTATTGATTATATAGGAGATATTTATGAAGAGATTAGCTATAAGATAATCCGCTTGCATAAAGAAGGAGAAAGTCAAAAGAAAATAAGTGAAAAAACAGAAGTTCCCAAAACTGGAGTTCAAAAATGTTTAAAAGCTACAGAGAAAATGGGCCTCCTAACAACCACCTGGAAGACCTGGTAGACACCAAAACTGCCCCCATCAGATAAACAGCACTTAAAGCTTTCATCTTAGAGAGAGAGGAGAAAATCAAGCTGCTTCAGATCTGAAATAAAACTGTGGAAAAGTGTGGCTGCAGATTTAAAAACTGAAAGAGTCTCCTGAAAAGAATGGAAGCTGTAATAAAGGTAAAGAGTGACACACTAAATACAGAAAATTTTGATATTATTTTTAGCTGTTGAGACCTTTGTATAATGTTCTGTCCAACGTCTATTTGATGCTTTTTTCTGATGTTGAAAAATTAATAACTTGTTCTTACTGGGTGTTTTGACTGGAACTTCTGCACCATATACTTTGAAATGAAATATTTCACACAATGTAAAGGGAACCTGATGCTTTTATTTATCGACGCTTAAATATTGTAGTTTTTTTTTATTTTTATTAACCCCTTAAATGGCCAGGTACCACCGGCAGGCCAAAAGTTTTATTACACACTTCTATAACCTAAGAATAGCTCAGCCAGTTTGCAGTGGAGTCCCTTTAGTTACTGAATAATAAGCCTTAGTGTGTAACAGGCCTGGGATTACGGGGTTAATCTATCTATACACTGTGTACTGCGTCCTTGACGTCTTGAAAAGTGCATTTGAATAAAATGTATTTGTGTTAGTAAAGCGTGTTTTGCTCTCTGTGTGCAGGATATATTCAATGCTTTCATCAAACAGAACCCCGTGCTGGTTCACCAGCTGCCCTGCTTCTGGAACGTTCAACTATCAGACCACACTCGCTCTGAACAGTGCTACACTGAAGTGTCTGACCTTAAGGTAACGATATAAAGTTGATGATATGAATTGACTGTGACGTATTATGTTTGATTGTGCAACATTAAAATACCAGTCTAGAGCCACTGCAGCAGAAAGGCTAATTTTGTTGCATCTAGAGACACTGATCTAAAACCAGACAAATATCAGCAGAAAATGTTGGGTGTGATTTGGGAGAGAAAAAGAACAGATGTGATCCAGTTCTGTAACAAATGTGTCCTGAAACAGCACTCAGCTCTCACTGTGTGATGTGATGTTTTTAGCTTTCTTTTAGATGATCATCCTAAAGGAATATTTTGACAAAAAAATCAAATTTACACAATTTTCCATTCCAAATGCAGTCAGCCCAAATATATTTGATGTCCAAAAAAGCTAAAAGACTAACATTGTTAACAAACACCAGAAGTCAATAGTCACCCAAATCTTGTAAATACATCCTCAAAACGTCTCCCAACCCACTCAGACCACATACAGATCTTCATTAGGGCTTGTTGATGTGGTTTGGCTTACAGTATGACTTACTGCGAACTATAAAAACAAACAAAACGTCAAAGCGTAGCTGAGCGCTGAGGGCAGCCACTTTAGACAACAGCAGTGCTGACTTCCGCCTCTCTGTTGTGTGCACAAGTGTCACACAGGCATAAGGATGCTAGACTACATTAGAGATTTCATTGTTTCTATCATTAAACACGGGCTTTATTTAAAAAAATCAGTACTAAACAGAAATCGCAAAGGTAGAGTGGGCAGAATTCAGCACAATACCTAGAACCCCATTTCCAAAAAAGTTGGGACGCTGTGCAAAATGTAAATAAAAACAAAATGCATTGCTGTGCAAATCATTTAAACCCTATATTTCATTGAAAATAGTGCAAAGACAACATATCAAATGTTGAAACTGAGAAATGTTATTGTTTTTGAAAAATATATGCCCATTTTGAATTTGATGCCAACAACACGTTCCAAAAAAGTTGGTTTATTTGTTTTGGAATCACTGCATTCTATTTTTATTTACATTCTGCACAGCATCCCAACCTTTTTGGAAATGGGGTTGTATTGTCTGATTTAGCTGCCTGTGACGGTGAAGTTTAGTTCATTTAACAAGTCTGCACAACCATAATGAAGACCTGGATGCAGTTTGAACAGGTTGAGAGAAGAATTTTGTGGATGTATTTACACAAACGATTTGGGCGACTATTGATTTCTAGTGTTTGTTAGTAACATTAGCCTCATAACTCCAGTTTAAATCTAAAGAAGCAAAATTTGGATACCAAACATGTCTTGGCTGATCAACTACATCTGGGGTAAGTGGAGAATTGTGTAAAAAAGTGGTAACAGCAACAGATTTTTGAAAAATAACTGCATCTTTGTTAAAAATGTACAGTATGAACATTTAATATGCACTTTTTTAACAAACTAATAGATAATATTGGGGTGGTTGTGCCGCTGTTTTGTCTATACTTTGTCTATGCCTGATTGAGAGGTTACAGTAAATATTAATTTTATTAATATTAAATAAACAAAAACGCCACTCATATTCGCTCCTGGCTAAAATTAACTAAAATGTCTTTTTTCTGATTTTGATTTTGGTTGCTCTCTTTTACAGGTTATTCACTGGAACTCCCCTAAAAAGCTGAGGGTAAAAAACAAGCATGTGGAATTTTTCCGGAATCTTTACTTGACTTTCCTGGAGTATGATGGGAATCTTCTCCGGCGGGAGCTTTTCGGGTGTCCAAGTCAGGCCAGCTCTGAGAGCACAAAGGTGAAACCCACCAATGCAGTTTAACGATCGAATATTCAATAATTTAGGCCAGCCCCAGTGTTTGTTTTTTATGTCTATTAAGTATCTATAAGCTTTTTTTAAGCCCCAAATATTGTAGCCTAAATTACATGAAATTTTAGAACATTATATAAGCTATATTCATGCATGCAAGAAGACAAAATAGACTCAACGCTGATAATAAACGAAGATGGACAGAAGGGCTTGTATTTTGGCAGATGTAAGACTGTCTAGCATAGCTGGTGTTGACTGGAACCTTGATTAAAATGGAAGTGTATCTGTTTCTTCAGACAGATGAATAAAGAGGTTTAAGTATTGTTGTTTTTAAGGATGATTTTGAGTACTTGTCTTGAAGGGTATCCCCCCCCTCTTCATTAGCTCAAAAGCAGTGGATCAATCAAAACATGTTTGGTGCCTGAAGTTTGCTTCTTTAGTTTTGCATTGGAGCTACGAGGCTAATGTCGCTAACTGCAGGCCTAAATCATCACACACCTGCCTCGAACTGTGTGGGGTTGTTCAGTAATCTTTAACAGACTTGCTTATCTGGTTTCTGACTCTGCATGAAATACTGTTATCTACATGAACGAAAGCGCAGACAGAATTCAGACTTCAAGCCGGCAGCTAAGGCTGCTGTTAGCTATGCCATGTACATTTGGGATAAGAAGAAAACACATTTCAGACTTTCAACTGACTTGGACGTTAGACTATAATCTGTTTGTTTGAGTGACTCTAACCTTAATTATGTTTATTGTATTAAAATAAATTGAAGGTTCAATTTAGTCAGTACAATCATAACACTGCCAAAACTGTACCAAATATTTCTGATGTGACAATTTTAGCTCATTTTGAGCACAACTCAAAAAAGCTAACAGTGCATGACACAGCTTTGAACACCATGCTCACCATGTGGTCATGAGGGACAGGGATGCAGTCTCACTTCCTGCTCTAAAATGCAGGGGTGTGGCTAAAATAAGGCTCCGCCTATGAACTAAAACTCTGTGTTTTGATAGTAAAAACCTCGTACAGCTTTACACAAAAATGTAAGTATTATTTTCACAAGTGTAAATTTAGGGGTTAGGGTTTGGGACAGACACCTCCTAATAGAAATACCCTATAAATGATTATTACTATCTCTGTTAATGTCCAGGGTTTAAATCGATCATAACATAATCCTTGTAAGTATCTAAAGTCTGAATATTTAATCTTTTATTGTAGGACCACAGTTTGAAACACATATAAGCCTTTCACTGATATAAACCTACATAATGATTTATAGAGGCTTATTCAAGGAAGCATTAGTTGTCATAAAGGCTGTCAATTTTGATGTCTTTTCACTTTAGAAAGTGTAATGACAACTGATGATTGTTGTAAGAAGCCTTTATAAATGTCTATAACGGTTTATGTCAGTTGTCATGAAAGGCTTATGTAGGTGTCGGGTAGCCTTAGGAACACTGCCCTTCAGTAAAGCGTTACCATAAATTGATTTTTAAAACTTGGTCGACTTTCTGTTTTCCAGCTTCAGAATGCATTAGAGGAGCTGGACGAGGATGACCAGTGCTATGATTTCCGGCGGGAGCGGATCATGGTGCACCGTGTCCATTTGTATTTCCTGCAGTATGAGTACACGTCCACTGAGGACGACACAGACATCACGCTGGTGGCCCAGCTGTCCATGGATAGGTGAGCAAGACCACACTGACTGACCACAGTTCTTCAAGTCTCAGACGGACACGCAAGCGTCAGTGTGGTTTGATTAAAGTGCAGCCTCATGAGGCCCACTTAAAAAGCTGATCTATAGTGTTATTGATTGGATTTCAAGGCTTTAAAAGTTTGTATTTCCTGGCTTAGATTAGAGAGTCACTGATCCTGCTCTCTATAGCTGTAATGGTCGCTTTTTAGCTTACATAAAATGGATAGAATGATAAAAATCTAGTTATTCAGTGAGAAACACAACTCTGAAGCCCTCACTGTATCATATTTTGTCACATCAGACCTGTCAGATATATTGCATTTTGCAAAGAAATAGAATTTTCTTCACATTATTCATCTTAAAGGAGAATTCTTTCAAAATTGTAAGATTTCCTTACAGTGGTGGTGATAGGAACCAGGGGTCACCATGTCTACAACCTAAATATTGCCATTTTATTTACAATCCAAAACCACCGGTGAACCTACACGTGTCTTCTGAGCTTTATATGTAATGTTGGTGATGGTAAAATAGTTATAAATCTGAAAAAAATGAAGTTTTCTTTGGGGACTGTTTGCCTCATGACAGCCTACATGAAACTCTTCAGCATGAATGAATTTTAAAAATATGTTTTAGGCCAAAAGCATCTCAAAACTATCACAAAACAGTGAGTGTGTTTACATGCACTCAATAATCTGACCATAATCGGATTTCTGCAGTTATCTGATTATTCAAATGGTCATGTAAACAGCACACTCTGATTTCTTAGATCGGAGTAAGTTCTAGAAATCCGACTAAGAAATCCAATAAAGAGAGCTGGGTTTTAGCTCAGTGATCAGATTTCTCAGCGCATGTAAACTCTTACTCTGATTTCTTTCGGATTTCTCAGTCTGCGCATGTGTAAAAACAGACCGCGGTACTGGAAATAAGCAAACAGCGTCGCTGCGAGACACAGCAAAACTGTTTTGGAGCGACGCTGAAACCAAATACATGCTTGACTAAATGAAGGATTTAATTTTCTTCATTTTCTAGATGATACATGTTAATATTTTTAGCTAAAGTGGCACAATGTTTTTTTTAAAAAAGCCACAGAATGAATTTTATATTTATTTGAGTTTTACATCACGTTTACGTCACGTTTTCTTCTGTGAGTTTATTGGCTGGTTGCAAAGCAGAAATCCAATTACTGCCTGACTCATGTAGACCTGGAGTGCTCAAGTTCATGTAAATGCATTGATCAAATTGCTGACAAAATCTGATTTTCTGCAGTTATCACTCGTGTCTCAGACATCAGGCAATGAATTCATAAGCATTTAATTTAATAACTTTCTACTAGTGTGTTTTTAGGGGCATTGAAATCTTAACGATTTAATTATGCACATTTTTTTAAATGAGTGGAATTCTCCTTCCACCGAAACATGTTTTCTTGTAATGTGATCAGTGTGATCAGTTCCTAAATGGTTTGGGGGTCCGTATGTACAGCTCTTGGGATAATCTTTGACTGGTATAGAACAGTAGTTCTCAAACTGGTCCTCAGGGACACCTCAGGCAGTCCAGATTTCTGCTCCAACCTGACTTGCAACACATAGGGATAGAGCAAAAATGTGGACCACCAAGGGGGTCCCTGGGGACTGGTTTGAGAAACACTGTTTAAACTTACGAGGGTTTGCATTGTATCCCATGAGCATTACGTTTCTCACAAAGAGAGATGTTGGTGTTTATTGTGTTCTGGACTGAAGCTGTTGGTGTTTCTCTGCAGGCTCCAGATGCTGGAGGCCATCTGTAAACACTGGGAGGGACCCATCAGCCTGGCTCTCTATATGTCTGATGCTGAAGCCCAGCAATTTCTGCGCTATGCCCAGGCCTCAGAGGTCCTCAAAAACCGCAAGAACGTGGGCTACCACATCGTCTACAAAGAAGGCCAGTTCTACCCCGTTAATCTGGTCCGCAACGTGGCCCTCCGTAATGCCAAAACACCTTACGTCTTTCTGACCGACATAGACTTCCTCCCTATGTATGGGCTCTATGATTACCTCAGGTAAGATATGCTTAGATCGAAGCTGAGTTGAGCTTCTGTATCCAAATAGACAATATTTACTGAATGTTACATTCAGAATATCACACTTCAAAATAGAACACAATACATCACATACATACACTTATATTTCAAGGATGAAGGAATAATAAATAAGATGCATAAACAGGGTTAGTTAAAGCCTTATTGCAGTTTCGAATGTTTTAAATACACAAAATAAAACTTAAAAAAAAATGATCTGTCACCATATTTTCATTGCAAAATAATTAAACTGAGATTTCAAATTCCTCAACTATCCCGTCCATTTGTTTGCAGAAAATCCATCGTCCAGTTGGACATGGCTAACACCAAAAAGGCTCTGGTGGTGCCAGCCTTCGAAACCCTGAGATACCGTCTCTCTTTTCCCAAATCCAAAGCTGAATTGCTGTCCATGCTGGACATGGGGACTCTCTACACCTTCAGGTACGGTCACATAAAGTCAGTTTCAATTTACCACAGCATAAAAAATCAAACTCATTGATTTTTCACTATAAATGATGTCTTAATGCTTGTATAATCAGTAATTCTGCCATGAAAAAGGTGATACGTTGAATTTACTGTGCTGTTGAGGTTTCTTGCAGAGTAGGCTGTTTTCTACAAGAACAGAAACGCCAGTTTGATGTAACCACTAAAGTGTGAGGTTTAAGCAAGTTAATTTCACATTTCTATTACATGTTAATTAAAATTGTATTTACATTAGATGTTAACTTTATTGCCTCAAATTTGTCAGAGTTACTGATTAATTTATTCGATTGTTCCATTTTTGCTAAGATCATCAGGTGAGCTAAGACTCCTGGAGTTGTTATCAACTTTGCTCCCTAATGTCCTTAATGTTGGGCTATTTTCTGACTGGCAGGTACCATGTTTGGACCAAGGGTCATGCACCAACCAATTATGCCAAATGGAGGACGGCCACTACACCCTATAAAGTGGAATGGGAGGCAGATTTCGAGCCCTATGTGGTGGTCAGACGGGACTGTCCCGAATATGACCAGAGATTTGTTGGCTTTGGCTGGAACAAAGTCTCCCATATCATGGAGCTTGATGCACAGGTAAGATGTCTAAGTTTAAATGAATACTCCAGTGTTTATGAATAAAGACGTCCGTCCCACCGCTGTCTTTTAAAGATCAGAGCATAAACTTCGTCTCCTCTGCAGACCAGTTTCTGCTCCCACCATGTTGAATGTTATACACTTTCGCTATGGCGCGACGCACATGATCAGAACGTACTTAAACGTTCCGATTGGGAATGTAATCAGATACAGGTGTTTACACAGTTATTATTCTATTTAACGGATTATTTACAAGATTACCCACCTCTGTCAATTGGATAGAAATTGTATTCCGAATGGCCTAAATCAGACTAGTCTATTCCGATTAAGGTGTATATACGGACATACTTATTCCGATTGAGCTATTAGTCGGATTATTGACGGATTATCAGGCTGCATGTAAACGTGGCTACTGACCATATTGAGCTAATGTGGTAGATTAGGTTGAAAATCACTGCAATAACCCTTTAAAACTCAAGTGCATGTCCAGTTCTAGAGTTAGCATTAGCCTCCTAATCCTAATCAATGATTTCTTACTCTTTGTTCTCTGACAGGAGTATGACCTGATTGTGTTGCCGAACGCCTTCATGATCCACATGCCCCACGCACCTAGTTTTGACATTTCAAAGTTTCGCTCCAGTCCCAGTTACCGGTACTGCTTGACGACACTAAAAGATGAGTTCCACCAAGATCTTTCTCGAAAGTATGGTTCTGCTGCTCTGAAGTACCTCACCGCTCAGAGGAACATTTAATCTCAGCCCTTCATGTTCATCTGGACACTTTAATGTTAACAGGAGTTAACATGTTTGAGTTTCTGGAGGCCTTTTGGCCACGTGCTGCTCTGCGACAGGTGTCCAAGATGTCTGAGGCTACTAAACTGCTCTTTCACTAACATCTGTATCTGTACCAAATCTGCTAAGTGCAGATCAGAAGACTGGAGCTTTAAACCTTGTTTCTGAACACAGTTGTTACAAGCAAGACACAAAACAGTGACGTCAGCACTATCCCAATGTCAAAAGACTGGAGTGTAACACAAAGGATGGCTAATACTTGACCAAACATTTCAACTGCTGCTTAGCAGGCCCTAAATGAAGCCTACTGTGTGTGTGATGTTGGAGGTCTGGACACTTGCTTAAAAGCATCAAGACAAAGATTCTGATCAAGGCTCTTTTTTTTTGACAATCAGGGCTTTTTCTCCACATGGTGTTCGGTAGCTTTTGCTCCTGGAAGCAGGTGGGTTGAGTGAGCCTGGAAACAGGTGGGTTGAGTGAGCCTGGAAGCAAGTGGGTTGAGTGAGCTGTGCTGAAGAAATGAGCTTCTTCTGTTGTACCAGAGGCTGAAGAGGTCAAGACGACTAGAGGAACAAATTGAAGCCTTATCATTTCCTCAAATATTTAAGATATTTATGATTTTTTCTTTCCTTTTTAAAGAATATGGTAAATTAATTATGGACATGTATGTCTTGATTATGAGACTGACCTGAAAAACAAAGCAAAATCACATTATTTTTTAATTTCTATAAACGGAGTACCTTAGGTGACCGAGAGAGAGAATGCTTGACAGAGACGCGTACCTTGTCATGTGGGGACGCTACAGAAAACCATGTAGAGCATATTTTCTGTTAGGCATGATGGGTTGTCTGGTTGCTGCATTTATGACTGTCACTTGACAAAGTTGCCACATATTATGGCATGCTTATTCCATAACCGGCATCATAGTGTTTAGATATCTCATATCTCAGCAGCTTTCATCTCAAACTCACTCTGACCACTCAACTGTACATTTCAAGAAATGTTTGTTTATTTGAAAAAGAAGAATATCTACTATGATGATCATTACAATTAGAGATTCTTATTAGGGACCATCAAAGGGACACCCGTTTTGCTCTCTTTTGGAAGTAAATGTTGATTTTAGACTGTGTTATTCACTATTGGTCAATGCTGATAAATTACTGTACCTGTCAATCTATATTGCAACCACTATTCACTAAGAAAGGATCTATAAGTATATCAAAAAAGTCTACAACACTGTACGCAAATCTACAAATACTGTGCAAACTCCACCAAAATGGTATAAATTGACGTATCCATGCCACGCCCACAAATGCTTTCTTTTGTAGCTACTGTTGCTACATTGCTAGCTTCATAGAACATTGACAAACATCCCTTTCAATCTAATATTTTAGTTTGGAATTCAGATTTGCTATATGAGAATGAGTTTCTGGTTTAAAGTGCCCTGGTGTGTTGTAGCTAATCCAAATTAGAGATGTTGGAAAGCAACAACAAGGAATTTGCCACCAAGCTAATGCTAGCTCTATTACAAGACCAATAAACTACACCCAATATATTCTTACAGTAACTACGATTACATGCACACCAATGGTTAGATATTAGTCTAACTGAGGCTGCTAGTCTAAATAAGCTATGATGATGTAAACAGATGTGTTTGACTGTCATGGGTTTAGTCCTCCTAGGCTTAGCCTGATAAAACATGCTCCAGGCTGATATATTGGCCCGCACTGTTTGAGATAGATTAGATCGCTCCACCGATCCACCAAGACAGGCAAAATGTTAGTATTTGTAGAGGAAGAAAGAGACATCACTCTGTTTTCCACTTAGCGCAGACGTAGTTGATCAGCTAAGGCATGTTTGGTGTCCATTTCTTTAGTTTAGCACTGCAGCTATGAGGCTAATGTTGCTAACAAACACTAGAAGTCAGTAGCCACCCAAAACTTTCCTCTAAGTACATTTCCAAAACTTCCCTCAACCTACTCAAACCATATCCAGGTCTTCATTAAGGACATTCAGACTTGTCAACGTGGTTTGGGACGCAGTATATCTAGCTGTAGCTATAAAAATAAACAAAACTTTATTGTATAGGTAGCAGCCACTTTAGATAACATGTGTTGGTTCTATTTACATGCATATCATCACTAGACCAGCATTGACCAGAACAGTTGGGGGATATTTCACAAAGCAAGATTTCTCAGCCAGATAATTGAAGCCCAAAGATGAGGACTGTCCAATAGGAATGTCCCTCTGCTCTTTTCCTATTGGACACGTTTGACTTTGGGCTTACGTTATCTGGCTAACTAAGAAATCCTGCTTTGTGAAATACCCACCTGGTCACCAGACAAAACAGCATGTTGTGTTTTAGATGCTGATATGCTGGATAAACAGAATAAGATTGAATCATTCATAAAGAGAAACAACACAAAGCAGGAACATAACATAGCATTGATGAGCCTGTGACATGCAACTATCCCCCTGTTGCCTGAAACAGCTAACTGCTGTATTCAGCTACACAGTGATGTTTTGTTTATATTGTAGCTCACACTGTGTCCTCAAGCACATCAACAAGTCTGTGCGACCTAAATGAAGACGATGGGGTCTGAGTGAGTTAAGAGAAGTTTTGGGGATGTTTTTATGAAAATGATTTGGGTGACTATTGACTTCTCTAGAGTTTGTTAGCAACATTAGCCTGGTAGCTCTAGTGCTCAACTAAAGAAGCACAATTTGGACCCCTGACCTATCTTGGCTGATCCACAACATCTGGGGAAAGTGGAAAACTGTGTAAATTAGATTTTTTTTTTTATTCCTTTAAACATTTAGTCAAAAGTGGACATTACATATAAAAATGGAAAAATTACCTTAAAATGGCAGGAAACTCATATGTGGATAAACGTATGTGCTTCATGGTAGAGGCGGCACTTCGGCCCAGTTTTATTGTGTGCATGTTAGCACAGATACTGTCATTTCCCACACATACAAAAACATCGTTTGAGGCTCCTGAGTGGTGCAACCATCTAAGTGTTGGCCCTATTATCAGGAGATCACAAGATCCCTAGTGATGCTACAACCCCCTATTTTCCCCCATCTCTCAGTGTGATGCTAGTCAGTGCAGTCTGTTAGCTGATGTAACAGAACTGGCGGTTGGCACTTTCCTCCAAGTGTGTTTAGCTGTCTAATGGCGTTGCGTTGCAGTGCCACTTCACAGATCTCAGAGGAAGCCTTTGCTAGCTTATGCCCTCCTAGCACTGGTGGTATCGTGTTACTGTGGGTAACTAGTGGGTGGACGAAATTGCGGAGAAAATTGGGAAAATGTTCCTAAAAATAAAAAAAAACACAATTTAAAGTAAATAATGCACAATTTAGACTTGTTTCAGACTTCAGAGTTGTGTGCTTTAATTTAGCATTTTTGCTAGCACTCTGCAAACCTTGTCCAAGCTAGCAACCGAGCACATCTGTGAAGCATAGATACGTCAATTTTAGCTTGGTTTGCAGTGGAGTAAATTTGGAGCTCAATGTGAGATATTTCACTGGATCATTTAATTTCATCCGTCTTGCATCGTTCACATCCCTCCACTGCGTAGACTGCATAAATCTGCAGTACATGCCTGTGCCTTTGCTGTATTGTGAACTGGATATTGATTGTACTACTGTACACGTCAGCGGGGCCTGCAAGAGGTACTCTATTTATTATTGTTGACTTAAATCAATCATATTTTTCTATGTAGGGGACAAAAGTGCTTTAAATAAATTTACCCTTTTTCTAAGACTGTCTGGCTGAAGTCTTTGTGTTCTCCTTTTTTATTTGTCCAAATGTCTGTGTGGGGGATCGCCTTGGCTCAATTTCTGTCAAAATAACTAAAATGAGGTTTGATGTGCCAGAACCAGAGCTGCTTCAGAAGAGGAGAGTCTGAATTTGAAGATAAGCTCAAAGGAAGAAAGAGACCCGAAGAAATGGATATAGAACGACAGTCGAGCTTATTTTCTCACGGCTCATCTCTTGCAGAAAAGTGCTGGTGTGAGTAGCAGTGATAGTTGCGTTAAATCCTGATCAGAAGATTCGATCGCTGACATGGCTCTGATGCTAATCAGCCTCCTCAGACTGATAAGAGACAGAAATGTCAGACAGCTTCAAATCTGATGGTTCAAAAAGACGTGGGAGACCTCAATCGAAACTTATCGAACGCCTGGCTGCGCATTAGTGTGTCCCTTTGAGTTCTGGGGGAAGATAAAGACAGAGTGGGCTGAAATGATAATTCTGGGCTGCCTCATTTGGACAAGTAGAACCTGTTTACCTCGAGAGGATGGAAATTACATTAAACTGTCTCTGGCTTGTTTTAAGGAAATGACTTTTAGATTGGCAGTTTCTATTATTTGCTTCCAAAAAGTGAAAGCTCAATCTCACTTCATTGGCTTTGATAAATCTTTCATCCTTTTACCAAATATGACATCTGTAAATTTACAAAAAAATCACTTTTTGTTATTATTTACTTCTTTATATAATATATACACAATATGGCCAAAAGTATGTGGACATCTCACAATCACATCCATACGAGCTTTTTGGACGTCCCATTTCAAAACCACAGCTATTTATATTATGACCTCAGCACAGAATAAGATGTTGGAAACATTGCGCTTTAAAGGCAAATGCTCTTTTATTGAACAGGCAGCAAGGGAGTACTAGCTGACTTGGCCGGGAAGCAGGCGGGTCACCTCTGATCATGCAACTCTACTTCATAGTAGGCACCAACACTGCACTAACTACCCCACAGCCCAACACAGAATAGCACAGATAACACATGTGCACATCATCAAGACAACAACAACTTATTTACAATAAAAGTCTCTCCAACTGCAAGAGCAGTGCTTCCTGAGAGCCTCTGCACATGGCAGCTCCGCATAACTACACCTCCTGTGCTCCCACGGCAGCGCGAGCCAGTGCTGGGATGCTAAAATATGGAGTTGTCCCCCTTTGCAGCTTTAACAGCCTCTCTACTCCTCTGGGAAAGCTTTCCACAAGATGTTGGAGTGTCTCTGTGGGCATTTGCACCCATTCAGGCACTGATGTTGGACGAGAGGGCCTGACTCGCAATTATCGTTCCAGTTCATCTGAAAGATGTGCAGTGGGGCTGAGGTCAGGGCTCTATGCAGGTCACTGGAGACTCTCCACACCAAACTCTTAAAATCTCATCTTTATAGAGCTCAATTCGTGCACAGGGGCACAGTCATGCTGGAAGAGGAATGGGTCTTCCCAAAACTGCTGCCACAATGTTAGAAGCATTCAATTGCCTAAAATGTCTGTATGCTGTAGCATTAACATCACCGTTTACTGGAAGTAAGAGGCCCAAACACTGATAAACAGCCCCAGATGATTATCCCTCCTCCACCAAACTTTACGGTTGGCACTACGCATTCTGATAGGTAATGTTCTCGTGACATCCACCAAACCCAGATTCATCCATCAGATTGCCAGATATGGAAGCATGATTCATCACTCCAGAGAACATGTTTCCACTGCTCCAGAGTCCAGTGGTGGCATGCTCTACACTCTAGCTGACACTTGGCATTGCATATAGTAATCTTAGGCCTTTGTGCAGCTGTGCGGTCATGGAGACCCATTTCATGAAGCTCCCGGTGCACAGCTGATGTTGTTGGATGTTGTTCCCAGAGGCAGTTTGGAACTCTCGAGTGAGTAAATCAACAGAGGAAAGGCTTCAGCTATTGGCAGCCACACTCTGCGACTGTGTGGTCTACTGCCTCATGGCTGAGTTGTTGTTGCTCCTAGAGGCTTGCATTTCATAATAATAGCACTTACAGTTGACCGAGGCAGATCTAGCAGGGCAGAAATTTCACAAACTGGCAAAGGTGGCATCATATGATGGTGCCATGTTTAAAATCACTGAGCTCTTCAGTACAACCCATTCTACTACAATGTTTGTCTATGGAGATTGCATAGCTATGTGCTTGATTTTACACACCTGTTAGCAATGGGTGTGGCTAAAAAACCTGAAATCAATAATTAGAAGGGGTGTTCACATACCTTTGATCATAGAGTGTGTACAGATGAGTGTAAAATTGAAGGAAAAACCTAATTAAATGAGTGTAGAAACATAACGAGTGCCAGTTCTTCAGGTACACTGCATGATACAATTAAGCAGTCAGCATCCTACTGTGCTCAATGGCTTGTATAAAAATGCTGAGCAGAGCCGACTGACCTTGACTTTGGGTCAAGATGGCAAGAAGAAAAGATTTAAGTGACTTTGAAAGAGTGTTAATTATGAGGAACAGATGGCAGGAGCTTCAGTCACAAGGACTGCTCACCCGCCTAGTGTTTCAGTAGGAACAGTAACCAAAGTGATCTGCATTTAGACCTGTGGGAAAGACATCGGTAAACAGGATCGAAAGGGCACATTTAATGATGATGATGCTTGTCACTGTTCCTCAGGTGGCCGGAAATGATCGGACTGTGTCAGCAAGAACAGGCCATCCACAACTACATAGAGAGGGATATATATTATGCTGCAGTTCATGAACCTGTCATTACAAAGACAAATGACCATTTAAGAGATCAGTGGTCTTAAAACTACAGACAATTATCTACAGAGATGTAGAAAAAAAAGTTACATTAGATGAGTCATTGTTCACCACAAGTGGGAGAGTGCATGTGTAGCGTAAACCAAGAGAACAGCACAGGCCTGAATGCTGGACTCCTACAGTGAGTGGCTCTTTTAATATGCCATGAGAGCATTTTGCTGGCATGGTTTGGGTCACTGTAAATCAATACAAAGTTATTCTGACTAATCAACCTTATCTTGTGATGAAACATTTCTTTCCTGATGGGAGTGGTCTCTTCCAGAATGACAGTGCCCCCATCCACAGAGCACAAGAGGCCAATGAATAGTTTGATGAGTATGAAAATGATGTATATCGTATGCTATGGCCTTTACAGTCACTAGATCTTAACCCAAATGAACACCTATGGGAGATTTTGGGCTGACGCTTTCCACTACCATCATCAATGCATCAATTGAGGGAATATCTTTTGGAAGAACGGTGTTCTGTCACTCCAGTACGGTTCCAAGGACTTGCGAATCTTGGCGAATCTATGCCAAGCTGTTCTGGTGGCCCAACACAAGACACTCTAAGTTTGCTGGTTTTGATTTGTCACCAGTCTGTAGCTGTATGGTGTATTAGTTTTTTATATAGGGGAAGCAATAGGTGTGTCCCAATTCAGGGGCTGCATCCTTCGAAGGACGCGGTCTACAAAGGCGTGTCCTTCAAAGGCTGCGTAGACCCGCGAAGGCTGAAATGAGATGGTCTGCTCTACGCTGGATTTCCTGTTTGCGTCACAGCACCGCTGTTTCCCACCCTTACCGTTGCATCACAGCGTTTCACCATGTTCTTGAATCCTCGCCGGAACACAATGAACCTCGGGATATGTTGGCTGGCAACGAATCCACCCTGTTGGATCCTTTGTTGCCATGGAAAAGAAGGCCACATTTCTCGGCTGCCTTCGAAATGGGACGGCCTAGTCGCAATCAGCCTTCAAATGCAGCCCCTGAAGGATGCAGACCCTCAGTTGGGACACAGCTAATATGCTGATTTCCTGAAGGCTTTACATGCATGAAAATTTTCCTCAAAAATAGAGAATATTTGTTGAGTAATCACATCAGCTCTTGTGTACTGTACGGCCTTTTAGTGTGGCTGTTAGTACTGAGAGAGCGGAGGGTGGAAGCTGATGTAGTGCTTTCCAAATGGATGTGACGCCTGTTAAAAGTGAATTAAAGTGTGTGGCTATGAGGGATAGCGGCATTTGCGGTGGTCCAGCAGGGCGTGTTAGGCTGCTGCCTTCCTGCACTGCGGGGGGCTAATGCACGGGTAATTGCTTGATGTGGCTCTTTATGACATTACGATGCATGAAGCCCATTGCACATGGGGCGAAAGTTTTAGACAGCTTCCTCCACACTCATTTACTCTAACGGACACTGTGGACAAGCAGGCGAACTGTGTGGTGTGCAGGCAGCTCAAGTGTCTTGGATTGCTGGTTATCTACATTTCTGTCTTGATGTATTTCTTTAACCTATTTTGAATGTAGCCCATTTCCTGATGAAACAGAGACGAAACCTACCGGAAATTAAGTGTACCTCAGTATCAGGATTCAGAAATGTTATAGAAATATTATATTGTATAGCAGTTCATGTGGTAAACTGGGTAAAATTCTTCCCCAGGTATATGTTTTGTCACCGAGATGCCACAAATAAGCACAGACATTGCAACATGCAAGCTATGCTAACACTAGCACATTTAGCTGAATGGCTGAGTCAGGGATGTTTGAGTCATGACTCAAATGAATGTCTAGTATGTCTTAGCTGAAAAAGACTGTTGGAACCATTAGGATTAAAACCTAATGGTCTCGCTTTCAAATGGGAATTGGCCTAATCAATACCATTACAGACCACTCCTGTAGGACACCTTTAGATCCCATCAGGAAGCCACCAAATGCATCTGGAATCAGTCCCAGAGCACTTGTTAAACCATTAGAATCCTTTATACTGTGATATCAGCCCACCAGGAAAACACAAGATACTGACGGTTGGACACCACCAGGAACCAAAAGAAACTTTTAATGGTTTTAAAATGGTTTTAAAACACTCATTAGAACTTTAACATGAGTGGGTGGGTCTAAACCGCTGTACACTAAATAGGTGTAAATATGTGCAGCAGTTGTTTCTCAGAAACAATGAATGCAAAACAAGTGGTTTTT